GATAAGAGGCGGTTAGATTTGGCGAGTGGTGTGTTTATGATCGTAGGTTTTATAATGTAGCGAAGACAGGAAAGTATTAGGGTCATACTTCATTACAAGCGCGAACTACTAATCTTTTCTTCGTAGGGCTTGAAGCCTTTATGATATACCTTCTTTTACATAGTACGCATTATACATCTTATCTGTGATATATTACTTATGCTTATTAATGTCTGTACTTTTATCCCACCGATTTCCCTTATAACACCGATATCTCTTAAAAACCCGATACGACGTTTACAACTTATACGACGTATAATACCGGAAAACCTATCTTAGGTAAAAGATCAACATACCCGAGAGTGCGTGACTTAGGGTCATATGGAGAAGATCCCACGACAAAATCGGCACTCGTGGATCACGTGTTTCGGGTCTAACAATACATGTGTGCAAAATTATTTTTGAAAAAAATATTTTCGCCAAACATTTCGGCATTGATGAATTTTTTATATGAAGCCCATTGAAATAACTATACTATATGATGTATTTTAATAAAAAGAGTTCAAAAAATTTCGGCAATAATTTCGGCAAATATGAAAATTAATTTCGGCACTATATAAGACTAATTTCGGCTGCCGAAATGACGTACGTAATTACTTTTATATTTAGATGGGCAATTTCGGCACACATGTAATACGTAACATGACATGACGAAATTCTACATGAGGTGATCAAACTAATATCTACGCTAAATTAAAATAACTATAATCCTGCTAATACGTATCTACCCTATCTTCATACATGTACTTATAAGTATCAATATTTTCAGATGAAAAATTTGTCATAATATGTCACATTTTTGAATATTGACAAAATCCCAAATCCCGATCAAAATGTGCCGAAACACCGAAAAATTACTAATCACACTTTCAGAATCATGCCATATGAAATCATACGATTATATTACTAGGAAATGGGAACCATTCAAAGTCCGAAGGATTTTTGTTATATGTTACAGACATCAGGTGCTCCATGCCTCAACAGTAATGCCCTACGGGTAATAAAGTATAAAATGCCTCGAACTTTTTTAAAAAATTTACTAAAGTTTGTAGTAAATTATATTATAAGGGACTTTTACTTTCGATAAAGTTAATATGTCTTCTGTTGAGGCAAGAATGTTTCTTTCGGTTGATAAAGTTGATATGTCTTCCATTAAGGCAAGAATTCTATTTCGAAATTTAGTACTGGCCATGGTATCCAAAATTACAACTATTTTATATTTAAGAGATCAACTTGATTCTGTGTTTTACACTACCCCTCCCTCCTGGAGAGGAGGGTATATCTTATACAAAAAATTTATTTGAATCAAATTGGTCTCTCTTTAGCGTGACCAATCTAAAAATTGTTGCTGAAAATTTTTTCGGTTGTTATATTAGATTAATGTTATTATTATGAACTTGAAAATGTAAATGTACTACTGCATATCCTAAATGCATCACTTCAAATTATTATTATCTCAAAGTTGGAAGTTTGGCGTTAAATGGACACTATGTATTGATAAGGTAGGCTAGTCATGTCACAAAATGTCGCTCCCATGATATCTAAGCTTTATTACTATTGCACCAGAAGAGTTTTGATTTAGAACATTATCAATTTGGATTTAAATAGAACTAGAAGAGTTATATATAAATAAATTAAATTAATTCTAATAGTAATCGGATAATAGAGTAAAATATTCGAAGTGCAATTATGCAATAATTAGATAAGCAAAGAATTTGATAAATATATAAATTTAGCTTTAAATTGCCACTAATTTAACTTTTTTTTTTGTTTATTAAATAGATAAAAGTCAGGAAAATTTTATTAAATATGCGCAAGAATTCCCACAGCAACTAATCACTGAAGAAAATTATGAATTATTTTCACACCTTCAGAAAACCATAACTTTTCCGATATATAACTATAACCAATTTTCCTTCATTGAAAAATCTCGCATCCTGTACCTAACAAGCTCTCAATTCTGCGCTATTTCTTAACAAACTATCAACAAATATTTTGCACATACTATAAATGGAATGATGGTTGTTAATCTATATCACGTATCAAAAGGATCATGTTAATAAAGATAGCGTCTACATAATAATCAGTGTTGGCAGCAATAGATGAATAGAACAATAGAATGGAGAAATAGAATAGAATAAAAGTTTTGCCAATAGAACAAAAAATTGTTAACAAGATTATAATTAGATATTTATATAGCAATAAATAAATAGACAATAAAATAATAGAATAGAGCAATAGAAATTAGATTAGATTATAATTTTTGTCAATAGAACACAACACTGAGCACATGATAATATTGCATCAACGCGTGATGTACATGTTTTGGCTACACTAAAGTACAAATATAGACACGCGTGCGGACAGACAGAATATTCAAAATTATAATATTGATGCATCAGTATAATATATCTAATGAATTAATTAAGAATGTAACTTGTAAAACATAAAAAACAGAACCTTGTATCACCATGACTGAACATTTAATGTCCTCCGCTACGCTCCGGGCAATAACAATTATCATAACGGAAACACACGGAAAGTTTTGAGGATAACACCGGTATGACCATTTAGTTAAAACGCGGCAAATCAATTGTTTATTATTAACATCTAATAAGACAGCTGCGAAATGTAGTTGAGTTAAAACCGGGAGCAGATGCATCGGATCAGTATAGTAATAGTCCGAATGGCTTGAAGATCACGGGACCGACAATTGTTTGTTTGGGTAAATCTATGGACACTTACCAGTTCATTGAACACCTGTTCACATGAACTGGTAGGTGTCCGTAGACTTATTCTCTTTGTTACATGACTAATCTACGAATCCACGAGTTTTCAAGTCATCTGATCAGCGACAAAATTAGCCAATGAGAGATCGAAATTAAATACAACGTAACAGGATTAGAAAATTTTTATCTCAAGAATTCACATTACCGGATACCCTAGTCTGTAAATAAAAAAAACCACCATTAACTATGCTTTTTAATTTAAACCTAGATTGTCAATCAAAGAAATTATCTTCAATATGTATTAGCTGATGAAATTATTATTAACATCTTTAAGCATGTTAAATATCCATTCGATTTATTACTCAGCTGCAAGAGATTTTATGCCATTTCGAAAGACTGTCAAGCTAGAGCAGAATGGATTATTTTTCAGTATGGGAAAGCGCATTGTCTTTTTCATGCAATTAATCTTGGACCTACTTTTATTAATGTCGAAGTCGCCCAATTAATCGTTGCAAGAGGAGGGATCCTGTCCAGATATTTCGTACAAAAGCTTCTTATGCACTTTGGATCATATGACGAAAAACTGATCAAGTTGAAAATTGCTTTTAACGTTGGGCAAGTAAACATAGACCAACCTTTGTACCGAAAAATTCGTCTTCCGTGGGCTAGCGACCTACAAGCGTCAGTTTTCACATTTTTGTTGTCAAAAGCATATGATCAATTAGGGGCTTCAGATATGTGTGGAAAAGGAAACGATATGGAGCTGTTTCATTTTCTTACTGCAGGTCCATATACAATTAACCGTGCACCAAATATTTTGGAGAAAAATATTGAATGCATTAAAGATTTAATATTGCGTATGAAATTCGTTCCATTCCCTCCAAGACCTCCATCCAATCAATTTAGTTCTTATCAAATTCAAGTCAACTCATCAGAAGAATATCCGTCAAAGGATGGTTATGAAAATAATAGGCAGCTTAATGTGATTGCAAGAGCAATTTTAATATACAAGGATCTCGTGCATTTATGGAAAAAAATTGGTTACAATGAAATTTGTGATGATTTTAATGTACTCATAATGCAAGGTGCGCTTCTCCTCCTTTTCCCTCCAACTCCACCTGCCGAATGGATTAGACCTGATGTCAAAACGATTAATGCACGCTTAATTGAATTAATTAATATTGGATTCCAATTAAGCTATGACGTTATTGGAAAGGTTTTTCATCTTTTCGAAAATCGTATAGACGAAATTGGCAAAACTTTAGTGGATTCATTTATGGAAGTAAAAAATGAACCTCGCGAAACTTTTTTACTTCACTGCTTGATTGAAACACTTAAACTGGATAACAATTTAAAAACATTTAATATCTGGAATTTTTTTTATAGACTCTTACCTGACCCAGAAATTGTCTTCAACAAAGCATTTGATCATTATTATAATGATTCAAATAGCTTTGATGTTGTTAAACCACTTATTTTATCCCCAAGATTTTATTATTGGGTATTGATAAAGTTTGGTTTAGACGCACAAATAACAACTCGTTGTTTTGAAAGTATCTTTTCAATTCGTGTTAGTATCGATCAGCAGCTTAAACTAACTCCTAATCTCAACATTCCAATTGGCATGAGTCAATATGTATTTAAAGAAGCGTGTAATATTTTTAAAGTTTATTGTAACGCCAAAAATTTTTTCGAGCCTTCTCATTTGGAATTAATTTCACAGTGCTTCAGCGTAGAAATCCTTGGAACAGTATTTGGTCATTATTTACCTAGATTGTTTAATTTGGAGATTACTTTTCCATTACCCATGCCGATCAATGAAGATGAAACTATTCAATTTGATACAGCATTACTTACAACCAATAAAAAAAGAACAAAACGGTGTGTATTAAAAGAATGGGAACAAAAGTTACAAACAATGTTTAATAGTCGAAGTGAACCGATCTCCGTATTTCAAAATTATCTTTCGGAATTTTGGGAAAAAAAGTTGTACGCTCCTGAAGTTAAGAAAGAAAAAAATCTAAGGAAAAAGTTAAGAAAGAAAAAAATCTAAGAAAATTTCCCAATAATACGACTTAACGCGTTGTCAAACGAAAACAACGTAAAAAATATTGAAAAGAAATAAACATTATTTTTAAAAAACAAGTCTGATATATGGATATGATTGTGATATGATTATGATTTATATGATTTATAATATGCTAAATAAGATTTGGATGATTTTTAATATGCTAAATAAGATTTGGTATTAATAAACGAATGGTTACGTACATACATACGTACTGTTATAGAAGGAAATTATTAGTTATTCGTTATTACTAATAAAACAGAATTTCCTTTTAATTTCCTCTATTTTTTCTAAATATGTATATTTCTTTTACTGCAATTCCATTTCGACAACAGTAACCGATCTTGTATTGCTGTACGTATTTAATTGCTTATACTAGTTTAGAAATAGAAGGTGGCTTAGTGGCTTAGGTACACGAAAAGCATAGGTGCGCTTTGGTCATGTGATTGGAAGAATTCCAGACAGCCAAAGGTGCCGGAAATAAATTCAATTAAAGGACTTTAAGTCCGCAGAATACATTGAATTGGTAATTTTAAG